GAAAAAGTCAACTTTCACACATATCAACTCAAAGGTGATAAATCATATAGAGTAGTAATAAGGCACCTCCATCATTCTACGCCTGTCGACACTATAAAGGAGGAATTAAATTCCAAAGGTTTCACTGTCAGGAATATTATTAACGTTCTGCATTATCAAACTAAAAAAACCCTCCCACTCTTTTTCGTGGACTTGGAGCCTTCACCATCAAACAAAGATATTTTTACAAAAGACACACTCGTTTATACAAAAATAAAAATTGAAGAGCCACGTCCCAGATGCAACCTAATTCAATGCAAGCGCTGCCAGTCCTGTGGCTATTCCCAAGCATACTGTAATCACCAACCTAGATGTGTGAAATGTGGCGACAACCACCTATCAAGCGAATGCAAGAAAGATAAGGACTCTCCTGCAACCTGTGCTTGATGTACACAACCACAACCAGCCAACTATAGAGGGTGTCAAGTACATAAGATCCTACAAAAATATAACCGCAACTCCGCACCAAAATCCACCTTACGGGACCAAAACTCTAAACCAAACTTCTTCTCAACACTAAGCTCTTCAAAACACTCACCACAGCAAGTCGTCTCAAGCCAGATCAACAGTATTGGAAAACCATCTTACGCCATACAACTTCCAAAAGAAACACCACCTCAAACTTAGACAACTATGATTCAACAGTCCCTCTAGCCCCAACCCTGGTATCCTTCCTCGAAGAATTTAAATCACTAATAACCCCTCTCATTTCTCTTCTTACATCACTAATTACCAAATTGTTTAGTCATAATGTTAAATAGTGCAACAAATATTATTCTCTGGAATGCAAATGGCTTACCCCAAAATAAACATGAACTCATAATTTCTTAATTCAAAATAATATCCATATCACTTCTGTATTATACATCTGTATAATACATTCTGTATCACTGAAACTCACCTAACAAAAACACTAAAATTAAAACTACCTGGTTATTTAATATATCGTGCAGACTACCCGGACGGTACGGCTCATGCAGGCTCTGCCATAATCATTACCACTAACTTAGTTCACAACCTACACTCAATCAATCCACAAACCAATCTTCAGGCAGTTTCTATCCAAATTTCCCTAAACTAATTTTTTAGGTTTAATTCTTGAATAACGTCTTACATGGAGCTCCCACTTAAAAAAATAAGCGTAAAGCTCTCAATTCAAGACTCCACCTTCTTAGACCCTTACTCTGCTCAAAGCTCTCATTAAAAACCAAAAGAACAATATACATGGCTCTCCTAAGACCCATGTGGTACTATGGCATACAACTTTGGGGATCAGCCAAACCCTCTAATACTCGAACAATCCAAGCACTCCAGTCTATTTGTCTACGTCTAATATCAGGTGCCCCTTGGTATATTACCAATGAATCACTTCATAAAGACATTTGCATCCCAACCTTAAATAGCCTTGCCAAAATCACCTACAAAAAACGCACAAAACATTCAGTACTCACTCTAATCCTAAAATCACCCAACTTTCATCCAATCAAATTCCAGGTAACCCAACCAGGCGCCTGAAAAGGAACTGGTGTAGGGACCTACTCTCTCCTTAAATCGCTTTCCACAGGGTGCCGCCACTGGGCGACTTCCCCCTCATGCCAATCATCTCCACATCACATTTACTTATTGTATTACGTGTAAATACAGATTGTAAATAAATATTGTTAGTTAAATAAAAAAAAAAAAAAATTGCTGTGCCAGATCAACAAAACTGCTCCCAATAGCCAAATATCTGAAACAATGTATAATTTGTTTTTTTTTAAACATTTTATTTCTAATTTTTATGAAATTGGTTTGTTTATGAAACTTTGATTTTATTAATATATTTGATTATGTATTTCAATTAAATTTAAAATAAATGATTAATTTTTAGAACAAAACTGTCGTAATCGATGGAAAAATATCCATACTGCTTTTGGAAGGTCAAGGAGGCCACCTAAATCTCGATCAGGGGGACGATCGAAAAAACCTTATTACTTGGCGACTTATCTTGGTTTTCTTTGTCCATACATGCAGGGAGCCTCAACGTCTGGTAACGTTCCTCCAGAAGAAGAAAGTGACAATGACACATATCCTACAAACATGCAGGCCACGGACACCCAAGATGAGGAAGGCAATTCACAGGATATTCCAGGTGTTACACCAAATAATAAGGCCTTTCTTGATTCGGAAACTGAGATTTATCCTAAACCCACCCCTCGAAAGAAAAAAAAATAACTCCAATGCAAAGTGATTCAGATAAATCATTTTTCAAATGGCTCGAGTTGAAAAAAAGAAAGAAAATGAAAACTATTCAAGAGGATCAAGATTAACAAGATGGTGATTGGCTTTTTTTTTCGCTCTTTGCTTCAAGATTTTAAGAAGCTTAACGACAAGCGTAAAAGAAATCTCAAACTTAAATTTTCAAGTCTTTTAAACGAGGAATTGGACCAAGCCGATGCTGCGGCAGAAAACTCAAGTTCTTCCTCTTATTCATGGGGTTCATCTACTAACCTATATCAACCAGCTTTGTCTTTAGTGGTTCAAAGTGATACACCATCGACAGATTTCTTTTTTTTAAACTAATTTTATAATTTTGAATGATAATTAAATGATAATTTTTATGATAACTGATGATAAATAAATCGAAGTTGTAAAAAAAAAAATAAATAAAGTTACTCATATTTCTCTCTTACTATCTGTTATTATAAAATATGACTTACCTTAAGGTAATAAGTAGTTTTTTAGATGGTGATATTGCAAATCTGAAATTTGTAATTTTTTTTTTTCAAGTTTTTTTGATACTAGTCGCAATAATACCCGGTAGCTTTCTAAGGTCATTCTATAAAACTCTTTACATTTGGTTTCGTGTTGAGAGAGTTCGCGGGACACCATTGCCGAACTCAGTATAAAGTTATATGGATTTATCCAATATTTTCTTTTTTTTTAATTTCCGCTGACGAAAGGTATTGGTAGGCATGAATGACATCCTCCTCTGAAGAGCTCATGATCACGACTGAAAATGTGTATCGTATCGCTTATCTATTTTCTACGGTGGGCACCCGAGTGTTGCGCCGATAAAAATCGTATCGGGCGATTTTTATTGTATCACCTATCGCATCGCACCAGTGGACACCGCGCCTTAGACATTCATATTTATTTACTGTAATTATACGAGGTCTAACCAATAAGTAATGAGACTAATTCAATAAAATACGTATATTTAAATATAAGGATACATCGCTATGATCCTCTTCAAAGTACTCCCCTCCCACCCCTATACACTGGTTCCAACGTTTTTTCCAGCTCTCATAACATTTCTGGAAGGCTTCGACTGGAATGTCCTGAAGTACCTTCGTCACGGCGTTCTGGATGTCAGTTATGGACTCAAAATGCGTTCCTTTCACGGCCAATTTTGTTTGAGGGAACAAAAAGAAGTCGCAGGGTGACATATCCGGCGAATAGGGCGCTTGTGGCAACACTGCGATGTTCTTAGAGGTCAAAAATCGCGACACACTGAAGGCACGCCGAAAGGTTCTTCGGTACCATCTTTTCACACAGCTTTTTCATGGACAAATCATCAGTTAAAATTTTTCTGACGAATTCTCGTTTCAAATTAAGTTCATCAGCCAACATTCGAACAGTTAAACGCCGATCTTGATGCACGAGAGTGCGCACACGCTGAACATTGTTGTCAGTTCGAGCTTCAACCGGTCTCCCACTTCGCGGTTCATCCCCGACGCTTTCACGACCATTTATAAAATTTTTATGCCATTGAAAAACCTGAGCACGACTCAGGGCTTCATCACCGAACGCTTTCACCAATTTATCGTACGTTTCCATAACGGAATCGCCGAGTTTAACGCAAAATTTAATCGCGTACCGCTGATATTTGTGACACGCCTTACAAACACGTTGTCGAAAACATAACACAACTGGAAAACTAATTATTGTACGAAAATCGCGAGCACATGTATCGATAGAGGAGGTATGAGAGATTAACCGAACGAAGTTTCAGATTCGCAGTGTTACCACAAGCGTGGCAAAAAAAACAGTCTCATTACTTATTGGTCAAACCTTGTATATATAAAAATAATTAAAATAATTACATATTCATTAAACATTTTCTTGAATAATATTTGTTTAATATTTTNATAATTGTCGTGGACCTGACACATCAAAACGATAATGTTAAATCGTCGACCGTAGACTTGCGGATAAAATTTTAAACACGGGTAAGTATTGCACCAAAAACTTCAGCTTATTTTTTAATACTAAAGTCTATTCAGGTTAAGAGTGCCCACTCGCTCGGACGAAAACTAGTTCAGTTCGCGCATGTATTTTTCTACAGGGAGCGCTGTGGTGTACCGACACGCGTTATACGTGTGTGGTATAGTATCACAACGTTTTCACAACGCACCGTGGCTGTACTACAAACAAACCGAACATTTCACGCCGTCCATTTTTTTAACTTATTTAATTATTATTTTACCAAACATGGATAATTTCAGCAGTGATGAAAATGAACAAGCAAGACCATCAGGACCGTCTCCAATTAAAAGAAATAAATGTGGAAAAGTGAGTACATATTATAATTTATATAAATATACAAAATGTAAATATCAATTTTTTAACCTTCAGACTGGCGAGTATTCTGAATCTCTTTTGTACATTTATTTCATTTTTAGCCATCAATATTTCAATCCTTATTTATTTTATTTATTACGTAATTTTTTTTTCAAATTTTTACATCAAAATATATTATAAGCACAAAGTATTTTTATTTCAGATAATCAGTACAGGTGAAAGACAAAGAATTGTATACTCTTATAAAACAATTTTGTTGTTAGACCCTAATAAGTCTGTAAGACAGATTAGGAAAATCATTTCGGACCAAATAGGTGTTGAGGAACGGACAATTCAAAAAATAATTACGGAGTATAATAATACGAAGTCGGTGGCTGCTCGAATTCCAAAACGTTCGAGACAGTCTTACATCGATCGGTTTGGTAAATTTGAAAGAAATGCTGTTCGTAGTCACGTCCACCAAATTTGGTTTCGACGCGAAATTCCTACAATGGACAAAATCCACCAAATTGTATCCTCTGACAAGAGTTGGCAAGTAATATCGCGAACCAATTTATACCACTTAATGAAAAAAATCGATATACAAAGCGAAGTCGAAACAGTGCTATGACCGAAAGAAACGAAATAGTTGGGTGGCGTAGAGACTATTTGGCAAGCATAAAAAAATACCGCAATGAAGGCAGACATATACATTTTCTCGATGAGACATGGGTAAATGCTGGAGAGTGTACATCGAAAACGTGGGTCGACACAACTATAAAATCCCAACGCGACGCATTCCACAAAGGACTAACAACAGGTGCTGTCAACCCTGCTGGCAAAGGTAAACGACTTATTGTTCTGCACATTGGTTCTGAAAACGGGTTTCTACTAGGTAGTCTATTGTGTTTTGAATCGAAAAAAAATACATGTGACTACCACGATGAAATGAATTCGGAGACATTTCGTGAATGGGTGGAGTGTATTTTACCACGTCTACTACCAAATTCCGTTATTGTAATGGATAACGCTTCATGAAAGCCGACAAAATCCCGACATCGAGTACCCAGAAGACGGACATTATCCAATGGTTGGTGAGTAAGGGAGAAGTCGTTGACCCCATATGGTTATCCCTCAACTTCTCCTAATTGTCAAACGTCTTAAAGCATTATATAAACCAAAGTATGTAATTGACGAGTTGGCAAAGGCCAGTAACGACACCGTTTTGAGACTTCCGTCGTACCATTGTGAACTAAACCCAATCGAACTGGCTTGGGCATCTGTGAAAAACCATGTACGGATGAACAACACGACGTACAAACTCCCAGATGTGAAAAATGTATTAATTGAGAGCATTAACCGCGTGAATGCTGAAATGTGGAAAAACTTTATAAAACACACAGAAAAGGAGGAAGAACAATTTTATCAAATAGATGTCATTGTTGATGAGGTCTTGACAGCCGAAATGGCAAATTTGACGATGACAGTAACTGGAGACACGTCGTCAGAGACAACATCTGATTCAGAATGAAAATTTAATTAAAACATTTTTTTTTTTTTTGTAAATATCTTTAATTTTTTTTTATGTACTTGTAATTTTGTATATCATTTGTATAATAATATAAAATATGACGCGACGGAGAATACCTGTTTTGTTTTTATTATCATGTGGTATACACGGCGGCGCGTTGCCGACTCCGATAAACAACGATAGTGAT